CTACACGTTCAATTCCATTATTTCGTTTTTTTTAAATAAATGGACTGTACTTATAAATTCATTTATCAGGTATTTTGACGCCTCAAAGCTCTTTATATACTACGAGTCATTCACCCATTCATACAGAGCAGCACCACTTGCTCACACACACACACACACACACACACACACACACACACACACACACACACACACACACACACACACACACACACACACACACACACACACACACACACTGGTTAGTGGCGTTCCTCTGTGGGTCACTACATTCCTGTCGCCTCTCTAAACAGACTCCCGTGTCCTTCTGTCAGCTGCTGTGTGTCGCCACCCGTGTTCCCACTTTAACAAAAGCCTGTCTGGGGCCATGGCAGGGTGACACACACACACACACACACACACACACACACACACACACACACACACACACACACACACACACACAGACACACAATCAGGAGTGTTGTCGCCACTTTAAGACCATTTGTCTTTGTCCTAGCTGAGGATCAGACTGTCAAATGGCGACAATTCCTCCTCCTCTCTGTCTGCTGCTCCTCATTCATGATGACAGACTACATGATACAGTGGGAAAGTAATACCCAAAACACTGAGCGTAAACATAATTCCCGTACAAACGAAAGGCAGGTTGAGAGTAAGTTTCAAGTTTCAAGTTTCAAGGCTTTATTGTCATTAGCACGTTAGCTTGAAGATATGTCAATGAGAAACTGAAGTCTCAGGCTCCTCCAACAATGCAACATGAATATATATGGGACATAAAAGAAATACAACTGATAATAGTGCAAGAGAATGTTTTGAGATGTAAGGGTTAGTGGTCCCAAGATAGTGGAAGTACAAACCCCTCAGCACTTTAATTGAGAGACACTTTGAGATGTAATATCCCTTTTTTTCTATATTATATTTGAATTGTATGTCGCACTATGTTTGGTCGGTGTTGTTTTATTCACCAGTGCCAAAGACACATTTCATTTAAATATAAATATAATTGAATCTAGTTGAGTCGACTTTGGATGAATTCATCAGCTGCGGTGCAATGTTTTAGTTTGACTGAAACATTAACAATAACTACAACAATTTATCAGTTTGACAGAAAATAATCTAAAAATAGTTATTTGATAATTTAATATTCTTTGTTTCCAGCCTTTCGATCGTCACAATTTGCTGTTGAATTGTTGAAGCTCTTAATTCTGAATTTTCTTGGGAGTGAAAATGAAACATTGATTTTGAAATTCGGTCAAGAAAAACAACTTTGTCCTGACAAGGTAAATGAACCTTGATTGGCCAGGATTGGATTGTGTGAGTTGTCTACAAGACCTACAGCTGTGAACATGTTCTCATAAACATGGTAAAACTATTTTTTATATTTAACCTAGTATAAGTGTAATTACATATTTAGATAAAACTCAAATATAAATAAAAACGTCCTCGAAAACAGGGACATGAATAGAATGTAAATTAGTTAATTACCTCAAGTACCACTTTTATTTGAGGTATTTGTAACTAACTTGAATACTTCCACTTTTTAAGCCACTATTATTGGACTCATACTGTATAAGTAACTTTGCAGATTAAGAATGTATACATGATATGAATGTAATACGTTAAAGAAACACTCTTGCAGGTGTTTTCTGTGTGGTTTGAACACACTGAGGTGTATTACAGTCTCTGCGCCAGGCGTCCCGCTGGTTTTCCGTGTACTGTAATAGAAATCCTGACTCACGCTGAGTGTGTGTTCAGCCCTGACTTCCCTTAGCTGTGGTTTGGCCACCTGCTCCACACACTCAGAGACCGAATATTAAAAAAAGACCAAAGAACGGATCACTCACGCTCGCTGAACAACTGCACGACAAAGAGGGGAAACTGAGAACCCCATTTTCCACGAGAGTCAGAGATGGCAAAAGTACACACATCCTTTACTTAAGTAGAAGTACAGATACTCGTGTTTAAAAATACTCTGGTGAAAGTAGAAGTACTGACTAAACTTCTTTACTCAAGTCAAAGTAAAGATGGCTTTGAAATGTACTTCAGTAAAAAGTACCCATAACTAGCAGCTGTTTTAAAGAGTACCTGACCTCCCTTTATATTAATAGAACAATAATGTCATTGTTAGCTAATGAATGTTTCCATGCTGAACAACGGCAACATGACAACGTTTTCATTGGTCCCTCTTCTTTAGAGAAGACCAGGAAATGATGGATACACGGATCGTGTTCAAATCAATAGGCACGCAATGACTCTAAATAATAATGATCACGCCACCAAACACACATTCAAACTAAAGGAACCAGCCTGTTTGGGAAATGTAAGAAGTAGAAAGTACAGGTATTTGAGTTCAACATGTAAGAAGTAGAAAGTACAGGTATTTGTGTTCAAAATGTAAGAAGTAGAAAGTACAGGTATTTGGGTTCAACATGTAAGAAGTAGAAAGTACAGGTATTTGAGTTCAACATGTAAGAAGTAGAAAGTACAGGTATTTGTGTTCAACATGTAAGAAGTAGAAAGAACAGGTATTTGTGTTCAAAATGTATGAAGTAGAAAGTACAGGTATTTGTGTTCAAAATGTAAGAAGTAGAAAGTACAGGTATTTGTGTTCAAAATGTTAGAAGTCAAAGTTAAAAGTCGTCAGAAAAATAAGTAGTGGAGTAAAGTACTGATACCAGAAAAAGGTACTTAAGTACAGTCACAAAGTATTTGTACTCCACTACTTCCCACCTCTGACGAGAGCATTTCACGTGACTCAACGGCTCATCAGTCTCTAGACATGAAGTGCAAGTCCCTGAGTTGACGAACACTTAAGAGAAGGAAACATTGTGATAAATTAGGGAGTCATTTGGTAAATGTCCACTGTCTCTTTCTGTCTTCAGCCCATCTCTCTTCCTTTAGTCGCTGACAGAGAGACGTCCACTCCAGCCAAAACTGAGTCCCAGCTGAGGCGCAGAATATGTCTGCAGCGTGGCTTAAGTCCAACACACACACACACACACACACACACACACACACACACACACACACACACACACACACACACACACACACACACACACACACACACACACACACACACACACACACACACACACACACACACACACACACACACACACACACACACAGGCTTTTCAGAGAGAATGGGGTAAAAACAAACCTCGTAGTCAAAGTTAGACATGCCATATCTCTAATATCCAGCAGGGGGCGACTCCACTTGTTGCAAAAAGATTGTATAGAAGTCTATGACAAAATTACCCTCACTTTTTCCTGAGACAATCTAGTCATTGTATCCTCGAAAACCATTTGTGAGAAACATACAACATAGCTTGGAATACTTTTTAGAGATCCAACTCCACTGGTTGCAAAAATAAGTCAGATTGTATAGAAGTCTATTAAAAAAGGTGCCTATTGCTCAGTTCATTTATAACCTAAGTAAACAATTTCCTGATGAGTTTCTGGTCCTGTTTCAAAGTGTTCATTACAATGAAAGTTATTGTGCAATCTTTCCGAAGAAAATGTTGTAGTTCTATCCTCTACACATGAAAAACCATTTGTAAAGAATATACAATACACCTCAGGATACTCTTTAGTAGAATAAATATAACTGCGAGATCCAACTCCACTGGTTGCAAAAAGAAGTCAGATTGTATAGAAGTCCATGAGGAAAAGGAGGCTTCTTTTCACTTTATTTATCACCTCAGTGAAAAGGTTCCTGATGAGTTTATGGTCTCAATCTCTGGTTTTAAGTCACCTTCAATACAGTATGGTGTTTATATTTAAATAATTTGTCCCATTTAGAGTAAAAAAGACCACAGTTCGTCTTACGACTTTTACCTTTTGACAGTTTGTGTTCAGACTTCATGAGAGGAAATTAATACATTTATTTGGTCTAAAAATGTTGGATTTGGTTCTACTTACCTCTACCCTCTTATGTCATTACATTACATTTAATGTAGCTGAAGCTTTTATCCAAAGCAACTCATAAAAAGTGCAATAAACTCTTAAGGTGCAAACTCAGAACAGCCAGAACTGGTGCATACGTTTCAAATGACCTAAACCCTTTAAGTACAAAAATGTTATTTTATGTTTTGTGTTAGGTGTCACTTCTTGTTCAAGGTTTCCAAACCACAGGCCGCAAACCTTTGAGAAAGCCTAGTAGGAATATAATAATGTGTCTGATGAATAAATTATGTTTTTGGATTCTTTGTTTTGGCCGCTGCTCTGGGTTTTCTTTGCTTCTCTGAGGTTTGACTTGGAACAAAATGTTTCCCTGATATTTCTAACAAATTCGTTTTTTTTGTCAGTTGGCCCGGCCCGGTTACCTTAGAAAACTTGATATTAAATAAGTGAACGTGTGATGACTATTAGGCAGATTGTATTCTTCTCTTTGTGGTTTAATAACTCATAAATGTATAAATAAGTCTATGCACAAATATAGAAAATGGAGCTTCATTTATATTTTTTTAAGACAATAAATTACAGAATTTCTACACCAATCTACTGATTTACAACAAAATGTAATGTATGGAATTTTTAAAGTGTAAACATATGTAGTAAAGTCTAATCAAAATAAATCTACACTTTTAAGGGGGGGAAACACGTTCTACCAATCCTTTGTAAATGTAGATGTCATTTTCCTTGTTTAGATCAATCGTAATGTTTAGGGTTTATTTAATAATGTTACTAATATTAAACTGTTCTTCATAGAAATATGGGTTTAAGAAATCTGTCAATGTAAATTCATGAGTTTGTTTTGGTTAGCTTAACCAAATTAAATAAATGAATACAAAAAAAAAAAATAATATCCAATCAAAATGAATGTATTTAATACTCTTACTAATGATAACACAGCGTTTATATAAATATGGGTTCAAGGCTGTCCAGGGACTACAGATGAAAATGGCACATTTACAGAAATGTTGATTAATGTGTACTGTTAAATAAATGAATAAAAAATAAATAATAATATCCAATCAAAATGAATGTTCCCTCACCTTGGAGTTGCACTTGTAAATGGGGTGTGTGATGGTCTCCACAAAGTGATGCCTCATGCAGCGTTCAGGGTCCGAATCTCCCAGGTGGGGGTTAGCGTTATCGTTAGCTTTCTTTCCGCCTGCAGCCTCCACCATGCCCAGCAGGGGGCAGCACATCAGGACCAGCAATAGCCATGAGGGAGGGGGAACATAAATGAACGGTTTCATGATGGGACCACCCCAAAAAGTCTCCTCACAGGACGTCCAAAAATGTCTCCTTTGTATTCCTGCTTTCTCAGTAGTAGTTGTGTTTGTTTCCCACAACAAAAAATGGGGTTTGGGAGGGGGAGGGTGGCCTTTATTTTATCTGTTTCTTATTCCTGTTAGTACAGCGGGGGCTCAAGGTCGTTGAGCTGAAGGGAAACAGGTAAGAGGAGGAGGAGGGTTTTTTTTTTCGTTGGGACGCTCCATTCCCCCGCTGTCTGGATCCACCGCAGTCTGTGAGAAGGAGACAAACAGGAAGTCATGCACTGATAAAGAGACAATATTGTGTGTGTGTGTGTGTGTGTGTGTGTGTGTGTGTGTGTGTGTGTGTGTGTGTGTGTGTGTGTGTGTGTGTGTGTGTGTGTGTGTGTGTGTGTGTGTGTGTGTGTGTGTAGGCAGTATGTTTTGTCTATTAGACATTTTTACATCCAAGGGAATTACTTTAAGTGCTGTAGGAAAGATCCCACACTATCCTCTCTCTATGTGTGTGTGTGTGTGTGTGTGTGTGTGTGTGTGTGTGTGTGTGTGTGTGTGTGTGTGTGTGTGTGTGTGTGTGTGTGTGTGTTTGTGTGTTTATTTGAAGCAATAACTCTGAATTTTTTGTTTTTATCTTGCCTGATATTAACAGGAATAAGTGGACCCCACAGTTAGATGAGAAAAGTGTGGGCCTCACAAGGGGGAACACGAGTATGTGGGTGCATGTGTTTTTGTTTATTTGTGTGTGTTTTGTATAGAGCCAGATTATCGTAGATATGTTTGATGAGAGTGCAGCAGCAAATAAGTACTTACTCTAAGCAAAAGGAGCAATACTTAAAATATATTACTCTATATTAACATATTACTTAAAGGTCCCATGTCATGCTTTTCCGGTTATTACCCGTCCCCTTGTGGGTTATGAAGGTTTTTCTGCATGTAAACAGTCTGCAATGTCACAAACCCTCAAAGATTCTTCCTGGGTACAGTGACGTGACCATACCCAAATGGACCCATTGGACCAATCCGTGGAGCTCCTCACACACACACACTCTCCCAGCGGCGAAACTGTGACGCGCTTACACTGTAGGTGCGCTGCGTTTGGGCGGGGGGGGTGCGGGTGCTAGTGGAGCCTCGCAGATGGGGGTGTGTATATGAAATGTGTTCATGAGTTCATCACAGCTGGTAAAGGTGGAGCTCATTTTAATTATTTCATAAACGCCTGCTGGATATTTTTAACCTATAATCATATCTCAAAGTTGATTTATATTCTGTATCTAAAAAAAATCCGGATCTGTAAAAGCTGACAGAAAGTGAGTGAAAAGTACAACATTGGTTTCTAAAATATAGTCGTGAAGAACTATAAAGTAGCATAAAATGAAAAAGCTACACGTTCTTGATTAAATACTTCATTACATTTCATCACTGTGTGTGTGTGTGTGTCTCCTGCACACCCACCTACACCCACACACACACACCCCCCACACACACACACACTGCACACACACGTAGACGCATAAGTCCTGGTGCTTTTATTACAGAGCAGAAACTTAAGCCATGCATAAACAGCCTGCAGCCGGCTCTCTCCTCTCTGCAGGAAAGAGTTTTTCATTAAAACAAATCGCTCTCCCAACAAGCGAGCCCTCTGCCAGTCCCGCAGCATATTTTTCACATGTATTTATGTCTTTCTCTTTCTCCAACTTCATAGTTTTATTGTCCTCCTGACAACGGGGTTCGTGTTAGGAGTGCTAACAGGCAATGTGTTGCGAATTAGTGTGTGTGTACATCTGGAGGTCAACGGGTGAAAAACAAGAGTAATGATTTATTTAATACTCTCTTACTAATGATAACATGGCGTTTATATAAATATGGGTTCAAGGCTTTTTATGTAGAGATATACAGTACGTAGATGTAAATTCATGACTCTGTCTGCCTGTTTGAACTATTAACTCATAAATAGTTCTTTCTAAGGTGATTTATACTTGGCTATAAAGTGAATTTGCAGTTTAAGTATTAATCTGGTCTTAATAGAAATATAGATTAAATGTTTTTTGCATGTCAAGATGTCTTTAAATGTGCATGCTTTGTTTGTATTTGTTAGCTTGACTGTTTGCACTAGTTACAATCATGAATACGTCCTTCCTAACTTCGAACAAAGTTATTTCTAAAGTCATTTATATTTGGCTATAAAGTGAATTTACAGTTTAAGTATTATTCTGGTCTTTATAGAAATATAGATTCTTTTTTTTTTGTATGTGAAGATGTCTGTGAATGTGCATGCATTGTTTATTTTTGTTAGCATGAATACTTCCTTCCTAACTTACTTCTCCTTGATTTATATTTAGTCGTAAAAAACACACCAAAATACTGATATAATATTCTGGTTGCACCATTAAAACTCAATATATGGACTAAGCAATAAACATATGAAGTAATGTGTAATTTAAATAAATGTACACTTAGCATAGCTCCCAAAAATTAAACTTTTTAAGTCGGAGAAACACATTTTGCCAATCTTATGTAATGTAGATTTTCCTTCTTTAGATCAATCAGAATGATCAAGGTTTATTTAATATGCTTATTACTATTAACCTGGTTTTAAAATACAATGATTCAAGGCTTTTTATTTTAAGCTGTCTGTGAATTTATGAGTTAAGCTCGACTGTTTGCACTCGTAACTAATAAATTAATTAGTCTTTGCACAAAGTTCTCCCTGAATACTTAAACTTGATTTATAGTTGGCTGTTAAAAAAGAGTTTCCATACCAAACTTCTGATATACTGCACCGGTTGCACCATTACAACTTAAGGAATGGACTTTGTAACGTGAAAACATCTTAGGTTAGGGTTAGGGTATTTTCATTTCCACAACAATTCAGAAACAAATATGTGTGAAGATTCAGATTATTATTAGGTTAATATTCCATTCCTTACACACTTAATGTATATCTAATGTCCGGCTTTAAATTATATTTTCTACTTTTTTAATGCTATTTTATTTCTATTTGAGATGTTTACATTTTGAATTGTTTATTTTTAGTCTTTTAATTTCTCTAATGTTCAATGTTTATGCTGCTGCAACGCAAACATTTCCCAAATTGGGATCAATAAAGTACATCTTATCTCATCTTATCTTACACAAACATTAGGCTGGTCTGAAACAAAAGCCTCTGATTGGTTAGCTGGCCGGCTCTGTTCTGATTGGTCAAACGCTTAGAGATGTCCCGCCCCTTAACTAGCCAATAGAAGCGCCAGTGTTACATATTGATGTCATTATGTTTCGGAAGTAAACAAAGGAGTCTAATGGAGGCGTTTCAGGCTTTGGAAAATACATTTAAATGCAAAAAAAACTATATAACACACTACATAAAGGTAACCCCAAAAAGCAGAATAGGGCCTCTTTAAGTTATAACATAAGTTGGTGTCTGTGTGTGTGCATAAACAAATCTATCAAAAACTCCTTCTTAACTATCCATCTCCATCGACACTGATTTTCCTCATCACAGAAAGTTCACCCGAACTCATTTAACCTTAACATTCCTCCTGACAGAAATACAAGTATCATTTGGCCTGTTAAAACAAATACTCCCCGAGATGCTTTGTTGGCCGGTCGCACATGTGCTGCAGGGTTTACGTAGCGGACGACCCGGAGTTATCGGAGCAGCGGGACACTTTATACAGCCAGAATCCATCAGAACAGAACAACACCACTAATCAGCACCTCTACACAGTACCAGGGTGAGCTTATTTCCTCTCCCTGCTGTAGGTAATACTATCTGCATCATTATTGCCCTTTTTTTCAGCGTTACACAATAGAGTGGTGCAGTGATGACATATTTTTGTCGATCGACCGAAAATAGCATCTCAAGTGCTCCCTTGACTAGTGGGATTGTTCCATTGGATTTTGGATTGTTGCAGAATATAAGATATCAGGCAAACAAACGTTTTTGATACTTAGACGTTTTGTTCAGCAGGATAATCTCCCATACTAACACCACTTGATTTCTGAAGTAAAGAGCTAACATTAGGCTATAAAGGAACTACAGCACGGTCACATGACTTCACGTCACCACCGCTAAGCTAAAGGTGGCTAATGTTGGGCTATAAAGGAACTACAGCACGGTCACATGACTTCACGTCACCACCGATAAGCAAAAGGCGGCTAATGTTGGGCTATAAAGGAACTACAGCACGGTCACATGACTTCACGTCACCACCGCTAAGCTAAAGGCGGCTAATGTTGGGCTATAAAGGAACTACAGCACGGTCACATGACTTCACGTCACCACCGCTAAGCTAAAGGCGACTAATGTTGGGCTATAAAGGAACTACAGCACGGTCACATGACTTGACGTCACCACCGCTAAGCTAAAGGCGACTAATGTTGGGCTATAAAGGAACTACAGCACGGTCACATGACTTCACGTCACCACCGCTAAGCTAAAGGTGGCTAATGTTGGGCTATAAAGGAACTACAGCACGGTCACATGACTTCACGTCACCACCGATAAGCAAAAGGCGGCTAATGTTGGGCTATAAAGGAACTACAGCACGGTCACATGACTTCACGTCACCACCGCTAAGCTAAAGGCGGCTAATGTTGGGCTATAAAGGAACTACAGCACGGTCACATGACTTCACGTCACCACCGCTAAGCTAAAGGTGGCTAATATTGGGCGTGATGACATTTAGTCGTCTCATTTACACACTTGTTTTTTAAACTCACCAGTTGTGTATTTACTGGCGTATTTTATGTCGTAGGCCAAACAGTTAAAAGCTTGTGTTAACCACAGACCTTATTTCCGTCTAACAACCAAAATCACATTCAGAAAAACATTTAATTTGAGAAAAGTTGGATAAAATGCTGACTCATGTCACGGTTTAGGACTCATTCCTGCACCACTCTATCGCCTCAGTGAAGCTGAATGCAGATATTTGAAGTCGTTTTTTTACCAAAAGGCTCTGTTGTTGGGCCCCTATCGACCCCGTGGACCCCCCCTCTGTGCATTGTGAATGTTTCCTGTGGCCTCAAACTTCCCACTAGCTTCAGTTCATACAGCAGAGTACACATGGCTGCTCCATTATAAATCAAGAGACCCAACTAACTGGCCCCAGGTCAGTGCAGTCTGTGGTGGACGATTTCATTTAGGAATATCTGAGCCCATTATTAACCAAACTGATTCTTGTACAGAGCTCGTCTACTAAACAGAGATTAGCTATAACTGCAGTAAATATCTTAAAACTACTATGATCAATGATTTT